GGAAATAATGTTAAGATGCTTGGCTGTCTTTTGAATCTTGGTTTCCCTGGCATACAATTATAAAATAGACACTTGAGAGGGAGAGAAAGGAATAGCCAGAAACATCACCATAGAAAGCTTGTAAGTGTGTCTTCTGGCTGTAACTGATTGGAATACCTAAATTGAGGCTACAACGTGCCCAGTGAAGGAGGCTTCCTGCGGAGCCTCTACATTATATAAGACCATAGGGAGCATCCTGAACCCCATCTTCTGAGATGGGAAAGGAAAAGAAGACCAGCCTAGAGCGGCTAGAAGAACAGAAGATACTTCTTGAAAGAAAGACTGACAGGAAAAAGGCAAAACAATAAAGGCAGTCTGATCACTACAAGAACAAGAAAGTTGTTTGCCCAGGAGACATTAAGCCAAGTGGTTGGGTCCCCTGAGGGCAAACCCCCTTCCAAGACTAAGACTCAATGGGAATACACACTCTGATTGGTGACCACGTTTATCACCGGTAAGGGGAACTGAGGGAAAAACATCAATGAAGCTGCGAGCTACGGCCTACTACGTTCATTAGACTCCTGTGAACCCGGAGGGAGACCTGGTTGTCCAGCAGTGTGGCAAGACCTGGGGACTCTTGGGCCCAGAGTCAGTGACACAGCAACAGAGGACTAGAGTGGAGAGTGAAGCATCAAGCTGATAAAGAAGAGGGCATATGCATAGGACCGCCCACATTTGCAGAAAATACCAACTTGACCTGGCTTTAATGACTGTATGATCAGAGCTCAACTAGAAGAAGAAAGAAGAGAAAAAAAAAAAAGTAACCTGATAGAATTTGATGAACTTGACCTACACCTATGGATGTAGTAGCTTGAAACAGGGAACAAATCTTTACAGCAAGGATCATTCCCACCCTCTCCATACACAGAGTAGACAAGGATGGGCAACTTTGACAATGGCTACCCAAATTGGGGTGGGGTGGGGGCTACAAAGGCACGAAGTGACAGGCTTACAAGTTTTCAAGATGGAGCCTAGATCCAGAGGGCACGGAAGAAGGTAGAATCTCCACTGAATAGTGTCCAATCTGTCTGGGCGGGGCTGATGAAAGGAGATGGGGATAGGTCTCCTGTGATACAACAGTAAATAACTGTTATCAGGACTGTGAGGGTTGGAAATGTAAAGGTAGATGTTTTGTAGCAAAAGGAGGGGAGTGACTGACTTTGCAGTCTAGGAGCAGAGTTCCCTGGGACCATATCAAGGGAGAAGAACAGAGAGCGGGACCCTACCCAGAGAAGCAGTGACACCAGAGATGGAGACAGAGACATGACATGGAGAGATGGAGCAGCTGGGGACTTTAGATCCAGAAAGGGAGAAGGGCTGTGTGCTGACAACTAGGGGGTCAGGCTTGTAGGCAATGAAACAATGTACGATAGGATGAATGTAAAACTAATGTTCTCCCATGTAAACTACCACATAATTCAAAATAAAACATAAAAAAAAAAAAAGTTGACTGTATTAAGAGAAGCCAGTAAAAATGACAAAAAGAATGGGGAGCCTCGGCAACCTAAGACAGAGCCATTGCCATGCTGCTATGAGTTTCGATGACAGGTAAGACGGAGGAATTCGCACTGACCGCCTAAGACAGGCAGCGTCCCTTAAACAAATAATAAATAAGGGGGAATCTGATGCAGACCATGCAGACCCGGTCAGGAGTTCAAGTCCCTGTGGGCCCAAGCGTTGCAGACCATCCAAACCATAGGCTCTGAGGATCAGACTTTAGCCACCTAGCAGACATAGCAAACTGTCCCTCATCTGATTATTCAGTTATGCTTGTTAGTAATCGCATACACGAGCCCTGGATATCCACAAATAAATGTAAAAATCTTCCCTAAAAGCCGAGACTATAAATTCCAAAAAAGGCAAAGTTTTTCCCCCGCAAAAAAGCTAAAGAGGATAAAGAGAAACACTGTTAACTGATGGTATATTGAGGGGATTATAATCAATGTAATGAAACAAGTTATATGAATGGTTGAATGTGAAACTGATGATGTGCCCTGTAAACTTTCACTCAATCCACAATAAAAACCTTAAAAAAAAAAAAAAAAGAATGGGGAGGTAGGGTGGACCAAGACTTAGAAGGCAAGGTGAAAGGTATGGTAAAGGTAAATTGGCCAAGTAATAGCAAATGTAACGAAGCCTGAATCTGAGCAGCAGATTTATCGAAGAATTCATTGATAACATTTGCTAAAATAATTAAAGCTGAATAATGTTGCTGTTGTTAAGTGTCGTGGAATTAGTTCTGACTCAGAGCAATACTGTATAGGGTTTTTGAGGCTCTAAATTCTCCTCTTTCTCTCACAGAAAGCCTCCCCTTTCTCTTATATAAGGGCAAGTGGGCTCGAACCTCTGACCTTATGGTTCACACTCCAATGCTTATTCTACTGAGCCAGGACACTCCCCAAAGTCAAATGACTGTTGGTGAATGCCATCGAGTTGTAAATGATAAGAGCAGTAGAAAATGAAAAGTACAGTAATTTTTCTTAAGACTTAAATCAAAGGTTGGTAAAAGTAGCAAACACTAAAGTATTTGAGGTTTGAGCAGTCTAATACAGTCTCTGTTACATACTCTTACGTATGTACACAAAGAGGTTATACGCCAAATCTGGCCAACCCTTGCATTAAAATAATCTCTGCTCTCAAATCAAACATTTGGAGACAAACTTAATAACGTTTTCATATATTAAAAAGTGCTATTCCTTGGAGTCCTCGTGTGGCACTGTGGGCTAATGCACTGGCCTGCAAAGTCGCTTTGAACCACAAGGTTGGCGGTTCAAGCTTATCAGCTGCTCTTCAGAAATCCTATACAGGGTGGTTACAGGTCAGAGTCGACTTGACAGACAAGTACATTCCTTGGAGCACATATTTCAAGCCCCCAACCTTTCAGTGACAGAGATACTCCTGCATTAATAAATCCAAACCATTTTCTAAATCCACTGAGATTAAAAACTTCACCATATGTAACATTAACAACTGCTATCTGTAACAAAGAGATTTATTTGGCCCTTTTACCTACCAAATTCCTTCTTACCCTGGCCTCCCTAGAAATTTTAAGAATAAACATTCCACCATTCAAGGACAGATTAAACTGCTTTTGGATAATCAAGGTAAAATAATATAATTGGGGATTCAACTGTTTAAAATCTTGTTAATTGTGTTACGTAATCCAGATTGTTAGACTGTGGCTGAAAAATTAAGTACTAGAGGACATTCACTGGTTACAACTACAAAGAATACCACAGTGAAAAAAAGCAAACTGAAAACAATTTTCCCTTGAGGAAAAAATCTGGACAATGTTTGAGTAGCATTCACTCCATCTGGCTGCAACTCTTAGAAAAGCACAGCACTAACTCATCCAGAGACAAGGAGAACCATGAGCATGAGGAATCTCATGCCGTTGAGTTGCTTCCAACTCATAGCCACCCTATCTATGTACAACAGAATGAAGCAATGCCCAGTCTTGCACCATCCTCATATTCGTTCCTCTGTTTGATCCCATTGTTACAGTCACTATGTCAATCCATCTTAATGAGGGTCTTCCTCTTTTTTGCTGAACCTAAACATTAAGTGCTGTTATTATTGTTAAGTGCATCAAGTTATCATGACCAACTCATAGCAATCCTGTATAGGGTTTCCAAGATGCAGCTGGCGAGTATGAACCACTGACTTTGTGGTTAGCAACCTAGTGTTTATCCTATTGCGCCATACCAGGATAGAGATTAAATAGAAAAGGAAGGTAAAGAAAATACTGACCTAAGATTTATTTCTGCCCAACCTGGGTTCAAAGAGAAGTTCAAATGAAAAAGAAGCAACAATACATCATACAACTTTAACCGGAAATAACCTTTAACTTGTTTTTTTCGTTAAGCAATCGATGGATTAGGATATACACTGGGCAATATATTCTTAAATACCAGATAACAATTTTGTTCTGAATCCATTTTGTGACTGTTAGGTAAGTTTTGCTTCAGTTATGATTTGGCATCACCAGTGACCTAATTTCCCTCTCTTCCTCAATCAATCAAGAATTGACTACATATATTACTAAGCAACAGTCATATGAGAACTAACAAAATTCTAAATCTAAATGAATAAAAGATCCCAATTCTGCTAAGTCATCTAATTTGCCTGCAAGTTTGGATCATGAATGTCATTGCTGTTCATTATAGAAATATAAGCTGTCCTTCAAAAACTGTGAAAGTAGCTATTATATATTTGGTAGTGGTTTACATTTATCATTATCTAAATCAGACCCCCAACGAGATGGACTGGCACAGGGACAGCAGCAAGGGGCTCAAGTGTAGTAACGGTGTATGATTGGCGCAGGACCAAGCAGTGCTCCTTCAGTTGTGCATAAAGTCGCTATGAATCAGTACCAATTGGACAGCACCTAACAACAACAAAAAATCAGCATTCCACAGAACCAATGTGTTAAATTCAAACTCCGGCCCACCTCAACCTTCCTTTACCTCTTAAGAAGAAAAAAAAAAAATGTTACCAACCTTTCAGAAAACTCTTGCTTCAACTGAGGAACTTCATCAGGTACTGAATCAGTATCCATGAAATCAAGAAAGTCTTGTTTTATACTAAGGGAAGGTTTCTCCAAATCCTTGCCTGATGTTTCATGAACTCTCAATATAGGATCCAGATCACTTGGCTGTATCTCTGACCCATCACCTTCTGTAAAACGAACCCGATGACCAGGAGAACTGGGAACACTACTCCCTTCTTGGTCAGAGTTATTCTTTTGCTTTCCATCTCTCTGGGGTTTACTATTCAATCCATCATCCCGAAAGCCTTTGGCAAATGGATTGTAATCTATTTTCAGCTGGGTAATCTGGATGTTCTGATAAGCTGTTACTGCAAAGAATTCAGTTTGTGGGAAGGTAAAAGTGTGGACACCAGGGCCATTCAATTGTATCACTTCAGTAGCCTTTTCTGCAGGCACCAAATGAAGCCTTGGCAGGTAGCGATGCATAGAGTGCAAGATGATATGCCCTTCCTGGTCCAGTGTATTATTGGTAAGTTTGAGTTTATAGAAAGATACTGGTTGATGCATCCAATAATGACCTGTGGAAGGAGATTCTGGATGAATAAAAACCCTCCCCAAAACATGGGGCTCAGCCTTCCCACTGGGTTCCCACCAGCGACCATTCCATTTATAACGATGGTTGTCCACAGGAGATATATCCATAACAAGGATATACTTCAAATTTGAATCTAAACCTGTTATCCAATAACGACAGTAAGGAAACATGCGTCTTCCCTGCTTGGTCAGAATCATCTCTGTGCTTCGATGATAGAACTCATTCCACATACTATTGTTATCTAGAGTAACAGTGATTCCTCCCACAGTACAATCAGATGGAAGGCAAATCTTCCCTTTAGATTTTTCTGGTGATGACACATTGCCAGCCAAGGCACAGGCATCCCGATTAGTAACCAAAATTCCTTGATCAGTTTTGCCATTTCCTGGCTGCTTCAGGATGACAAAGAAAGTAGGTGCTGCTCCTGCCACTGTTCCACCATCCTGATTAGCCAATATAATCTGCTGTTTGTCCTCCATGATTCCAGTGAAGCTCAGTAGTAAGATAACTAGTCACATCATAATAGCCTTCCCATCCTAAAAAATGAGAAAAAAAAAAGCAGAAAACACTTTAATCAAGTGATTAACAGAAATACAAGAAAGACAATGTTATCCCTAAAACATTCAGAAATTCCTTGAAGACTTTGCTTCTGCCCTCCTCTCAATTACTGTGAAGATACTCTTCTGGAATATTTAACTAAAAAATTTTTAATTTAAATCTAATTAAATTACACATACATAGCACTATGGGATAATGCACTGGATCGCAAGATCATTTGAATCACAAGGTTGGCAGTTCAAACTCACCAGCTGCTCCTCAGAAACCCTATATAGGGTTGCTATGAGTTGAAACCGGCTCTATGACACTTAACAATAACTTGTGAGCACATACATCTAAAAAATCATGACAAATCATCAGAATTCACTGGGAAAAACAGTTGAATCTGTACTTCAGAACTTTATAATTAAAAAATTTCAGATGACTCAAAGATTTAAATATTGAGATTACTTTTAATAAGATTGTCAACAAACTGAATTTTTGTTTAATTTTGATAAATTCTTAAGGAAGTCCTAAGCAAAGTTTTTTAAAATAATAATAGTAAATAGAACAGAAAACCCAGAAACCAAGATTTTTTTAAAAGTTGACAAATTATGTTCTTTTCTTTTTTAAATGTTCAAGTTTTTTTAATGTGGCAAAAAAATCTAAACATAAAAAAAAAAAAAAGATGATAATCTGGGAAAAAACTATTTTCAAATTGTATCATAAATAATTCACTCCTCTAATACAAAAAGGGCCCCTACAACAATACTCAAAATCTGATTTTAAAAATGGGGAGAGGATATGAAGAAATTGTTCACAGAAAAAAGCAAATGGCTATGAAAATGTACACAGACTTGCTCAGAATAAAAGAAATGTCAATTAAAATCTGAGGGTTTTTTTCTTTTAACCATTCAGACAGATAAAAATTATAATTTGGTAATAGTGGTAAGGAATACAGTCTTCTCCAACGAGTTGCTGGGAGTCAGAATAATAAGAATCTCTATCCTGGAGAGCTTACTTGAAAATATCAAAAGTACAAATGCATCTATCCTAAGACCCACGAATTCTTCCATGACTTTATTTTATACATACCCATAATATGAACAAGATTATTCCCTACATTTTCATTCATAATAGTAAATGACTGGGGGATACATGTCTATTATTTGTTATTGTTGTTGTTGTTAAGTGCCTTCGAGTCGGAGCCGACCCATAGCGATCCTGTACAGGGTTTGTACCACTAAATCGGTTCCGACTCATAACAACTCTGTATAGGCTGGCTTTCTGAGGAGTGGCTGGTGAGATTGAACCACTGACCTTATAGTTCAAACTGACCTTGTGGTTCAGTGCTTTTTTATCCCACAGCGTCACACATTAGGGATTGATTAAACAAATGATGACATACCCACAGAATGGAATACTATGCAGCTGTTAAAAAAGTAAATGATACACTCTTTTGTATCCTAATGATCATTGTTGTTGTTAAGTGCTGTTGAGTTGGTTCTAAGTCATAGCAACCCAGTATAGGGTTCCCAAGGAGTGACTGGTGAGTTTGAACACTGACCTTATGGTTCAAACTGACCCTGAGGTCCACGCTTATCCTACAGTGCCTAATGATAAGATATAAAATTAGCTACAAGATATTTTAAGAACAAAATGTTCTGAAGAATTATAAATTACACAACATTTATTTCAAAAGTCAAAAAGGGAAAAAAATGCTTAATATAAATAAACAAGCTCAGAAAAGACAAGAGGATTAGTAACACTGGTAATATCAAAGGAAAACGAAAAACCAAACTCACTGCTATCAAGTCGATTCCAACTCATGGTAACTCTATAGGACATAGTAGAACTACTCCTTAGGGTTTCTGAGACTATACATCTTTACAGGAGCAAAAAGTCTCACCTTTCTCCAGAGAGCAGCTGAGAAGATTTGAATTATCTATCTGTGGTTAGGAGCCCAACACTTAACCCACTATATCACCAAGGCTCCTTAGGGAAAACTATATTGCTAAGAAAGATACTATATCCTTTGATACCTTCTAAATTTTTCACCTTGTGAACACATACCATTTAAAAAATAAAGTTAAAACTCAATTCATTAATTCTTGAGTTATAAAGGCCACATATTGTATGATTCCATTTACATAAACTGTCAGAATAGGCAAACCCACACAGAAAGTAGATTAGTGGTTACCAGGGCATAGAGGAGGGAAGATAGGAATGAACTGCTAACAGACATATCATTTCTTTTAGGGGTGACAGAAACATTCTGGAATTAGATATTGGTGGTTTGAACCGCAAGATCAATGGTTCAGGCTCACCAGCCACTCCCTGGAAACCCTGTATAGGGGGTGCTGTAAGTCAGAACCAACTTGACGGCACATAACAACATACTCTTAATGTTAAAAGCTACTGACGTGTACACTAAAATGATTAATTTTGTGTTGTGTGAATTATACCTCAATTAAGAAATTATAAAGAAATTTCAGATTGCAAAATTCAACTGAATTGATAATGCTACATTAACTAAAATTCTGTAAGACAAAAATTGAAGATACTAGATCACTATACCTATGTATGTGGGTAAATAGTTTTTCTTTATCAACTTCAGTCAATTGTGGTTCTTCATTTTAATTAAAAATTCTAATTTTACCTAACATTAAAAGCTACTGACAAATAGTAAATGTACCTTCCCTAAATTTCACTTCTTCTAAGGATTGATGTCTGACCAAGAAAAAGAAATCTCTAAACCTTTAAATATTTTACATACATTAGTCTGGGTTGGGGGAGGGCAGGGCTGATGACAGAGCAGTTAAGTACTCAGCTTAACAGTTAATATTTTGAACCAACCTAGCAACTCTGTGGGAGAAAGACTTGGTGATCTGCTCCCATAAACATTACAGTCTAGAAAAACCTGAGGGGAAGTTCTACTCTGTCACTTGGGGCAACTTCTAGTCAAAATCAACTCCACAGCACCTTGTTGTTGTCAAGTACCTTCAAATCAGTTCAGACTCATAGCAACCCTGTATAGGGTTTCCAAGGAGTGACTTGGTGGGTTTGAATCTCGAACCTTGCAGTCAGCAATCCAGGTCTTATCCTATAGCATTACACCAGGACTTTCCACAGCACCTAACAACAAAAACCTGAGATAATAAATATGTTGAAAATCAGTATTCCAAAGAGATTATTATCTGCTATTATATGGCTATGTTGTTCATGTGCTATGGAACCAATTTCGACTCAGAACAATTTTATAGGACAAAAAAACTGCACCATTAGGTTTACTCAGATGAAATATTTTTATATTTAGATTAAAAATAGCAAACTCACATCCAAACACTAAAAGCACTGATATTCAAAAAGAGTAAGTAAGGGAAAAAAATTCTCCCCTCTGACTTGATTAAAGTTTTTGCTTGTTTTAAACTTTTTACTTAAAATCGAGTGATGGGTTACAGACAAGTTCATCACTTTGCATTCAACAAATCATACACTTTGTTTCAGCTCAATGAATGCAATCCCCTCCATGCAGCAACAGTTATCTTTAATCCTCCCTGTGGTTCCTAGTTCCATTCCACCCACTTTTCCATCCCTTCTCAACTTTGTCCTTAGAAAAATGCTGCCCTTTTGATTTTGAATGATTGACCATTCCTTTGTGAGCATACCTTACCAGTGTTGTCCCTCCTATATATCTATCTACTGCTTGGCTGAAAATTGAGCCAGAAAGGTAAATTCCTTTCCAGACTGAAGGGTGGTTGAGGGTCATAATCCCAAATTCCTCCAGTCTCTTCCTGACCAGTAAACCTGGTCTTTTGTTCCACATTTTCTTCCACTCTATTCAGGACCTTCTAATATGATCCCTTTCAGAGCAGTTGGTAGTAGTAGCCAGACACCAACTAGTTCTTCTGCAGAATCGTGGAGACTGATGTTCACATGTTCCATTAGTCCAACAGACTAATTTATTCCAAACATTTGAAGTTTATTTTTAAGATACAGAAAACTTAAGGTGATTCTTTTCAAAAACCATCTCATGATTTAATCTAATAAATTGATTTGCTACAATTAGTCACAAACTTAAGACAATACCTGTCAGGTATTTAAAACAAAATTTAAGCAAATTGAAAAGTCACATATAGGTAACTTTGGGTGGTCCAAATGGCTAACACTCGACTGCTAGCCAAAAGGGTAGAAGTTCTCACCTCAGAAAGGCCAGGTGATCTATTTCTGAAAAACCAGCCACTGAAAACTTTGTGGAATACAGTAACATGCCTGGGGTTGCCGTGATTTGAAATCAAATCTAGGACAACTGGTTCTGGTAAAACAATAAAGCTTAGAGAACACCCAAATAGTACATATCTCAAACCAGCTCTACAATGGTATATAACTCAAACAGTTATGTGTCGTCTAGTCAATTCTGACTCAGTGAACTTGTGTAGGATTTTCCAAGGAGCAAGCTAGTGGGTTTAAACTGTGTCCGTGCTGATCCTACACCAGAACTCCAACTCAAACAATACAAACTCCTAATCCTATATTTAGCTCATAAAATTCAATATGCTGTTGCAAGTCAACTATTTTTGTGAACTATGCAAAAAAAATTTATTAAATACATTTAAAAGCAGGCAAGAGGGGTCCTGGTGTGACATTAAAGTTTAAGCACTGGACTACTAATAACAAGATAAGTGGTTCAAACCCACCAGCCACTCCTTGGAAACCCTATACAGCATCTCTGAGTTAGAACAGATTCTTGAGCACTTAACAACAAAAAAAGCAAGGAGAAAGTAACTGAATTTTTTTTTTAGCTATTCCAAATCAATTAATTACATGAAGGGTTCAGAATCTCTTACATGTTGTCATCTATAGTATTAATATCTTGATTTTCAGATCATTACAAGTTTAAGGGCAGGACAGAGCTATTTTAATCAATGCTATAAAAATCACTATCTTTTAAAAAGATTAATTTATGAAATATCAATAGATTCAATGGACAGAAAGTCAGTT